GGGCCCCGAGGGCGGCCCGCGCGGCGGGCGGTGCGCGCCGGTGCGCGCCATGGAGTCGGCGCGCCCCGGGAGGCCGCGCGGCGAGACGCAGCAGCTGCTCGACGGCGGCTGCAGCGACGCGGCGCCAGGCAGTGGGGCCGGCGACCCCGAGGCTCAGAGGAGGAAGAAGGTCCTCCCTCTGCTCCGCCTCCTCCTCCTGCTCCTCCTCCTCCTCCTCCTGCTCCTCCTCCTCCTCCTGCTCCTCCTCCTCCTGCTCCTCCTCCTCCTCCTGCTCCTCCTCCCTCCTCCTCCTCCTTCTCCCTCCTCCTGCTCCTCCTCCTCCTCCTCCTGCTCCTCCTCCTCCTCCTGCTCCTCCTCCTCCTCCTCCTCCTCCTCCTCCTCCTCCTCCTCTCCCTTCTCCTCAGTGGAAGCCCATGCCAAGAAACACCCTGCTTGCCTCCAGGGTGCCCCAGGTTTCCCAAGGTTTCGATGGTTCTGCCATGGCAAGCGCGGCGTTCCCACACTAGAAGTCAATGGACGTCCTGGGGTCTCGGGGCTGGGTTTCTTGTGCAAGGTTTCTTGTGGTCGAGCTCCTTCTGTACCCATACCGCTGCCCTGTCCCCCGTTTCCCCCCTCCGTGGGCCTCCAGGAAGGCCCTCGTCGCCACCGCCAGAGGCGCCTCGAGGCTTAGAGGAGGAAAAAGTTCCTCCTCCTCCCTCCTCCCCTCCTCCTCCTCCTGCTCCTCCTCCTCCTCCTCCTGCTCCTCCTCCTCCTCCTCCTCCTCCTCCTCCTCCTCCTCCTCCTCCTCCTCCTCCTCCCCCTTCCCCTCCTCCTCCGGAGGAGGCCCTCGTCGCCACCGCCGAAGGCGCCTCGCCAATCCTGGTCACGACGCGCACCGCCCGGAGAGGCCTGCCGAGCCGCGGCGCCGGTGCCTCTCGGCCTCCGCAGGTCGACTGCGCACGCGGGAGCGACCCCTCGCCGGAGCGACCCTTCCCGGTGCGGGCTCGCCGGGGCCTCCCCGATACGCAGTGCACCAGGCGCGCGCCCAGACCCACGCGGAGCGGCCACACGCCGCTGACACGAACGAAAGTGCGCCAACCAACCAACCAACCAGCCAGGACGAGGGAGGAGAAGGACGCGGCGTGGCATCCCCACGCCGACTCCCACCGGCCGCAACGCAGCCCAAGGCGCGGAGCACAGAAAGCACCCGACAGAGACCAGCAGAGCGCCAGGGAGGGCCTGCGGACACCAACGAGGGGGGTGATGACTAGGGGGGGGCGTGTGCCAAGAAACCAGTTGGGTTTTGCCAGGGTGCCCTGGGTTTCTTGGATTTCGATGTTCCCCCAATCAGATCTTGACGATTTTCGATCGACAAATTTGGGTTTTCACTGAACAAATCGCGGATTTCAGGGTTGGGTTTCTTGCGGAGGTTTCTTGTGGCCGAGCCCCCACTGTAGGGGGGGGTGGATATCATGGCGGCGGCCATGATATGTCCCCAGGTTTCATGGCGCCGCTTCTTATTCCACTGCGTCCCTGGTCCCCCCGCTGGGCCGCGCACGTGCCGCCGGTCATGATTTGCCCCCCCCCCCCCCCTCTTGGACACCCCCCTCTTGGCCGCTCCAGGATTTTCGTCTGGGGGCCCCCAGGGGCCGCTCCGCGCGCGCGAACTAGAAATATTGTTAACAAGTTACCGGAGATCTCAGCACGCCTCTGGCCCGTTGGGCCGGCGAATTCCAGTGCGTCCCTGGTCCCCCCGCTGGGCCGCGCACGTGCCGCCGGTCACGATTTGCCCCTCCCCCCCCCCTCTTGGACACCCCCCTCTTGGCCGCTCCCGACCCGACCGCGGAGAGCGCGCTGCGTTCGAGCGGCCGCCCGCGCGCTTGCATGTGGCCGCCCTGCACCCCCAGGAGCCGCGCCCCAGGGGCCACTCTTGCCCAGGGTCACCGGCGTCACCCCAACACACTGATGCTAGGTTCATGTCGGGCGTGCCCCCCTACAGGGGATGTCCGACGAAACATCGAACATACACAAAAAGTACCCCAAAATGGCAAAACAAGAATCCAAAAATAGTCCCCAGACTATTTTTGGAGGACTTTTGGATTATTTTTGGGGTATTTTTCATTTTTCGTCGAAAATCCCCCTCTAGGGGGACAGGCCCGACATAAAACTATGTGTGCGTCGCCCCCCCCAAGGGGCGAGGCGCTCACCGAGACGTCTCATTGTATATGCGTCGTGGCGGGCGCTGTCTGCCCACACCGCTCGGGAAACGATGCACTGCAAGATGGGTGCACTATGTGTTCGGGTCGGTCGCGCGCCTCCGAGGAGGGCACATGTATCATCAGTATGTCTCTGTGCGTCGTGATCTTTTCACAGCGTCGATCCAGAGGTCTGGACCCCTTCCCGGGGACTGGCTTTTCGCAAGGACCGACCACAACGCTGTTTAGCTTGGTTTGGGCCACGGTTGTGTTTTTCGTTTCGTTTTTCGTTGTCGTGCCCCGTTTCGTCGTTCGTTTTCGTTTGGCACCAGCTCCATTCAAACATTCGTTTTGAACCTTGCGCCTCGTTTCGTTGCTCGTTGTAAATGACATTCCGTTTCAAACATCGTTGTGGTCGGTCGTTGGTTTTGCGTCCTGAGTAGTTCTGTGACGCTCCCGAGGCCCAGGAAGGGCAGCTGGAGGCCGAAAACAGCGACAACCCTCCCGCAGTGTTTTCTCACGCCGCGGGGAGGTCAGGGCCAGGGCCACTCCTGCGCGCAGCCCATGTGCGGAGGGGGAGGAGGAGGAGGAGGAGGAGGAGGAGGAGGAGGAGGAGGAGGAGGAGGCGGAGGCGGAGGCAGGAGGAGGAGTAGGAGGGAGGAGGAGGAGGAGGAGGCGGAGGAGTGGGAGGAGGGCGGCGCGGGAGGAGGTAGGGGCAGGAGGGAGGGCATGAGCTTTCCCCAGAGGCCTCGAGCGCCGCGGCCGCGAGGGCGCCCGGTGGCCTCTCGGTGCCCCGGCGGCTCGCCGCGCTCTGCGGCGTCGGCGTGGCCGCGGCGGCGGCCTGCGTCGCCGGGGCGCTGCGCCCGCCGCGGGAGGCCGCGGGGGCGGCGCCTTCTGGGGCGGGGCTGGTGACCTTCGCGGGCGAGGCCCGGGAGGGCGCGAAGCTCGTGGAGACGGCCAAGGGTGGCTCGGCGGGGGCAGAGTCCTCCTCCTCCTCCTCCTCCTCCTCCTCCTCCTCCTCCTCCATCCCTCCTCCGTCCTCCTCCTCCTCCTCCTCCTCCTCCTCCCTCCTCCTCTCCTCCTCCTCCTCCTCTCGCCTCC